GAGGAATGGGAGGGGGAGTTGAAATGGTTCGCAACTGGGAGGTGCAGTTGTTTATTGCGAACCGAGCGTAGGTGTTCTGCAAAGCGGTCCCCGAGCCTACGCTTGGTTTCCCCGATGTAGAGGAAGCCACACCGGGTACAGCGGATGCAGTATACCACATTGGCAGATGTGCAGGTGAACATCTGCTTGATGTGGAAAGTCTTCTTGGGGCCTGGGAAGGGGGTGAGGGAGGAGGTATGGGGGCAGGTGTAGCACTTCCTGCGGTTGCAGGGAAAAGTGCCGGGTGTGGTGGAGCTGGAGGGGAGTGTGGAGCGGACAAGGGAGTCACAGAGAGAGTGGTCCCTCCGGAAAGCAGATAAGGGTGGGGAGGGAAAGATGTCTTTGGTGGTGGGGTCGGATTGCAGATGGCCGAAGTGTCGGAGGATGATGTGTTGGATCCGGAGGTTGGTGGGGTGGTACGTGAGGACGAGAGGTATTCTTTTTTGGTTCTTATTGCGTGGACGGGGTGTGAGGGATGAGTTGCGGGAGATGTGGGAGACACGGTTGAGAGCGTTCTCGACCACCGAGGGGGGGAAGTTACGGTCCTTGAAAAACGAGGACAACTGAGATGTACGGGAGTGGAATGCCTCATCCTGGGAGCAGATGCGGCGGAGGCGAAGGAGTTGGGAATAGGGGATGGCATTTTTGCAGGAAGGTGGGTGGGAGGAGGAGTATTCTAGGTAGCTGTGGGAGTCGGTGGGCTTGAAATGAATATCGGTTTCTGGGTGGTTGCCCGATATGGAGACAGAGGGGTCCAGGAAGGGGAGAGAGGTGTTAGAGATGGTCCAGGTAAACTTAAGGTTGGGGTGGAAGGTGTTAGTGAAGTGGATGAACTGTTCGAGCTCCTCGTGGGAGCACGAGGCGGCGCCGATACAGTCATCTATGTAACGGAGGAAGAGGTGGGGTTTAGGGCCGGTGTAGGTACGGAAGAGGGATTGTTGTCAGCTTGCTCACTTTCTACACATGCCGTAACTCTTCAGCCATCCTTGGTTTCTTTTCTCATTTCAGTCCATTAAAATCCCAGAGAAATGAGAAGGCATGATCTCCATGTGACTTACTTCAAAGCTCATGTCTATGGGTTTGCTCCTTCTCGTTTTAGACTCCACAATGGATGGGGAATGCTGGCTTAAAGGGAGATAATGGATCCACCTACCTACAATGTTTTGAATACAGTAAACATTCCAAGGCAAGCAACAGGACTGTAGAAAAGAACACAATCTGATGTCAAGTGATGTAGTGAGATGTCAGGTGACCCGAAGCTTGATCAAAGAGGAAGGATTTCAATAAACGGTGGACAGAATTTTGCAACCTGGTCCTCCCGTGGCAGGAGATTACAGGTGAGAGGCGAGGTGAACCTGCCCTTGCTATGGTCGGTTTGTCCTGCGGTCACTCAGTGTTTGGAGTGAGGGTGGGGGGTTGGTATTAACAGGCTCAGGGTGAGACTACCAGCTCCATGTGGGGAAGTAGTGACACTCTGTGAGCTCCCAGCCAATCAAACGGCCAACAGCCCTCCGGTCTCAGCAGCGTCCCAGGGGCTGGTGGTCTCTGTTGGAACTGCACCCAGTACCCAACAGAGAATGTCACTGGAGTCGGATAGAGAGGTGAGTGGTTGGGGGAAAGGGAGTAGGAGTCAAAGGTGTTTTGACAGACCAGAGGGATGTACGGCAACTGGTAAGCCATCAGGGTGGTTACAATGAGGGAGACGGAGGGGAAACCCAGGTGTGGGCAGTGGTAGTGGTAGGGGACTGTGGGAGAGGGGTCCTCAGATGGACCAGGAGACAGATAAAAGAGGTATTCCCCCTGACTTTTTACCTCCTTTTTGATCAGTTAGGGGAACCCAATAGAGGAAAACATCAACAGTGTCCAGAATGAAAGTAGCTTTCCTCAACCAGTCCGTGATGACGCGGTGCCTCTTTCACTTTGCATCAAATACCAATTGAGGGGTGGAGGAGGGGGATGTGGGGGAGTGTGGCAGGAATGCTGTCCAAGATATTTCAGCTAAATTTACCCCTTCCAACAGGCTTCCGACCCACCCCAAGCAGAGTGTAAAATTCTGCTCACAGAGTGACGCTGAGAGAGGTTTGGGCCTTGGGAATTAAAGACATCTTCACCAATGGCAGGGAGTCGGGAACGTGTGGGAGTTGAAGGAGGTGACAGAGATAGGCAGGGTTGTGGGAGCTGGAAGAGGTTACAGACATAGGGAGGGATGTTGGAGCTGGAGGAGGTGACAGAGATGGGGGGAAGGAAAGGGGTTGAAGGAAGTTACAGAGATAGGGAATGGTGTAGGGGACTGGAGGATGTTACAGAGGTAGAGAGGTACTATCAGGACCTGAGCACAAAGCTGATAATTTTCAAACTGAGCTATTGTCGAACAATGAGCTAATGTGAGTCAGTGAAACCGAATAGGATTGGACACCTACAAGCTGTGGTCAAGCAACCATGGGCCCCAAATTGAATATTCTAAATTGACCCACCGCCAGAGAAATAGGGCCTGACAGAAAATTAGCCAAACTGAATTAAACAGCAGCCAGCAGCTATTGGCTACAGAGTGCAGTGGAAACCAAGTTCAAAGAGATCACAAAGGTTCACAGAGTCATAGTCATACAGCATGGAAACAGACCTTTGCTCCAGCCAGTCCATGCCGAACATAATCCCAAACCTGGCGGCTCCTGGCCCATATCCCTCCAAACCTTTCCTATTCATGTGCCAATTCAAATGTCTTTTAAATGTTGTAGTTCATGTTACAATCTGCCTGAGGGCTGTGCGTTGGAGAAGGGTTGATCAGATCTTCTGGCACCTTGATTGCCTGAGGCTGTGCACTTTACACCTCCCAACATGACCACAGTGGAAAGGGTTGGCATGGCTCCATTGGATGATTTGAAGCCACCGGATGGCCCCATTGGCCAAAGGCCACAGAACATTCTGGAATGTCAGAGCGAGGGAGTATAAGAACACACACTGATACACCACCCCTTCAGTGACTATTTGGCGACGGCTCACAATGAAGACTCACAGCAAGACCCATATTGGAAGACCACACAGCAACCCAAGAAGACCCAGGAGAAAATATGCCCTGACCTGTGAAACCCATCTTCATGGAAGAGAGCCAGCCCTGCATCAGAGAGGAAAGTGATACTAACAGTCCAGCTCAAATGTATGAATCATTGTGCTAGCTAGAGAGTGAACATTGTGGGAACTTGGGAGATGCTCACATAATGTTTTTAATAAGAAGTACTTTGTTAATGAAATCATGTTGAACTGCAAACCGAATTTTGTGTCCCTTTATCTGTTTCAACAATAGGAGCACTTGGGTAAAACACATAAACTGGTCAAAGTGTCAAAACACAGACAAACAGCTTGTCACCCTCAGTCCTCATTTTATGGTCCCTGCAGGGAAAGTCTCCCCATCAGGACTGCAAGACCATGGAATGTCTTCTCTAAATAGTTTGAAAACAGTTTATTGCTACTTCTGCAGGAGGAGTTCAACAGAAATGTTGTCAAGTTTACAGAGGCATGGCCAGTATTCCTTCTGAGCAACTGGTGGCCATGTGGTAATGTGCTGAAGCAGGATGAAGCAGTCAGGCTATACATGAGTAGACCATCCTTTAGAATGAGCAGCTTGGCAGCAATGTTAAGGGGACCACATAGTCCAATAAATTGTTCATCTCCAGACACAGGGTAAACATTGAACAAGACCCCAAAGCCTTATCTTATTTAAATACTTCCCCAACTCGTTGGGGTGTGAGTAAGATCATTCTATCTGAAACATCATACTCACTTGAAAAGAGGAAGTAAGATAATGTGTATTCAATTCTTTCTTTAAAAGCAAATGGAGTTATAAATAGTTGACACACACACACTGCCTCTGTTTACTCACAGGCTGAGCAGTACGTTAAAATGACCAAAATAGCAATGCAGGTATCTCTATCGGTAAAACCCAGACATTACTCTCCTCATTGATTACCTTCATGACTTGATTTTATTGTTGCTAGGATTGTTTTGGCAAATTTCCTTACTCTGTTCTCTGCAAATAAGTTATAATTGGAAACTGCTCAGTGGCTTTGCAGTATAGGATCATTAGGAAGCCATTCAACCCCTCAGAACCTCTTCCATGGTTGAAATTGTGCTTGTTTTGCATCTGAAATCAACCCACTCAACTTAGCAAAGCAAAAATCTACCAATTAGAGATTTCAAGTGATGAATTGAGTTATCATTCATGGCCTTTTGTAGGACCGAATCCCATTCCTCTCCAACTCTTACTGAGAGGAAATGTTTTCTACTTTCTATCCTGAATGGCCTGGCTCTGATTTTTACGATTCAATCCCTTGTACTCAACACCGCCCCCTTACATAGACATTCCTATAAAAGCAAAATACCGCAGATGCTCAAAATCGGAAAAAAATGCAGAGAATGCTGGAGAAACTCTGCAGGTCTGGCAGCATCTGTGGAGAGAGAAACTGTAGTGATTGTAACAAGGACAGCCAGGTGGACTTCATAGAATATGAATCCCTGTTTGGGGCTATTAATCTGGTCCAATCTGGGAGACCTGGCTGACAGATATAAACAGGAGTATCAGGGGTTCTGACCACTCTGAGAGCTGGCTCTGAGGGAGCTGGATCAGTATCAAGGTCTCTCCATGTGTAAATAAAGGATGACAAGGTGATGGGATACCTGCCTCTGTGGGGTTATTTCAGAAACAGGGTTAATGGTTCAAATCCAGTAAGATTCTTTTTTAGGGCCTCTTCCTACAGCATAACGCCCAGATTGTTCACAATATTCCATCTTGATTGAAGATCTAGGAGGTGTAGTCTTTAATCCTGTGCACTCTAGATGGCATTGACTTGCACAGTTACAACAACACCTCCTTCTCTTTACGTTCCATAGATAAAGACTAAGATTCAATGAGCCTTTTCTGATTAGTTAGGCAGACCACTACATTTCAATGCTCTGAGGACATGAATCTTTCAATCTCCTCAGGCCGCTATTGTTCCACGTTGATCTTAGCCTGAACTCCTCCTGGTCAACCTTTTCTCCTTAACCCTTGAGACATTTACTGAACACATATCTATCAGAACCAGGGCTGACAAGTACATTTGGGTCCCAGGAGAGGAAGTGATAGAGGTGGGTACAATTACAACATTTAAAAGACATTTGGACAGGTACATGGATAGGAAAGGTTTAGAAAGATATGGGCCAAATGGGATTTGGGAAACTTGGCGCAATCTAGATTGATGTGAAAATCTGCTTTCTGATTTCATAGAAACATTTTGTTCCCTCAAGCCTGCACCACCATTCAATACAATCACAGCTGATCATCCAGCTCAGTCCCTTGTTCCTGCTTTCTCCCAATACTCTATTATGTTCTGTGCATCCACCCCCACCCTTCACCCCACAGTCAAAAAGACCCATCCCGAGAGGTCTTCCCCCTGTTTCCATTGAACCCCTACAGTGTGGAAATAGACCCTTCAGCCCAACAAATCCACACCATCCCGACCCCCTATAACCCACCTAAACTATACATCCCTGGACACTAAGGGTAATTTCCCATGCACAATCCACCTAGCCTGCCCATGTTTGGGCTGTGGGAGGAAACCAGCACAGACACAGGGAGAACATGCAAACTCCACACAGACAGTCACCTGAGGGTGGAATCGAACCTGGGTCGCTGGCACTGTGAGGCAGCAGTGCTAACCACTGAGCCACCATGCCACCCTGTTTGCTGACCCCCCTCCATAGTAAGGAGCCCTCGAACTTTCCAGCCTAACCCGGAGCTGCTGCTAGAAGCCTGATTGGCCCAGTATCCGCTGCCCAACATTGTGCATTAGACGGTGGGTTTGGCAGGAGTCAAGTGGCAGGCCATCTCCAGGAAGGTGGTCACTACGCTCTCATTGCCAGTCTGTGGGGGCTTGGGAACTACAGATAGTCTGGGTAGCACGAACTCTCCCTCAACCAAACCCCAACCACTGTCTTTGCAGGGCAGTAGGAATATTGTGTACCCTCAGGGATGTGTCGGGAGACTTAGTGCTAAGGGTCTAAATCGTCAGTGATATAAGAGGTCACATGACAAAGGGCTCTGAAGAGAAATGATTCTTAGTGTGTAAATACTTAGAATAATGTTTCATAAAATGGTAAAGTTACCAACAGCCTTGCTTCTAGCAGCCTCCATTGATCTTGACCAAGGACACAGCCTGCTCTAAAGTCCATTATGATGAGTCTTACATGGAATCATAGAATCGTAGAATCCCTACAGTGTGGAAGCAGGCCATTCGGCCCATCGAGTCCACACTGACCATCCGAACAGCATCTCACCCAGAGCCAAATGCCAACACCACCATCCATCTTTGGATGGCCTGATCTAATGAGGGCAACAAGATATAAGACACGATTATCGATGAGATGGGGTGAGGATCCTTCTTTATCTATTTACCTTTTAGTGAAGGATCTTAGGTTGGTTTTGTACTGTAAAAGTGCTTTCTAAATGTGCAAAGGTTCTTTGGAGGCCAGCTTTCCAGCAAACATGAATCTGGTCAATGTTAATTGTTATCTATTTCAGTCAGAATTTGCCATAGCAACATACTTGCAATGGCGACCAAATGTACTTTTGTCCTTCTGTAGTAAGAAATTATTTTCGATCTATGAAATAATGAGTTCTGTACTGACCAGAGTATCACCCAAGTAAGTGGACAAGCTAACCCCAAAGGTTGGAGAGAATAGGTGTAAGTACATCAGACTCATACTCTACACATTAAATTCTGAACAATCTGCTCCAGGGAACATTAGAATTAATTTCTGTTTGCAGCTTTTGCTGAAACAAAATCATTTAATTATTTTGGTCAATGCAGTGTGGAGCTGGACAAACACAGCAAGTCAGGCAGCATCAGAGGAGCAGGAGAGTCAACGTTTCAGGTCAGGACCCTTCATCAGTTCTAGGTCCAAAACATCAGCTTTCCTGCTCCTCTGATGCTGCCTGACCTGCTGTGTTCCTCCAGCTCCACACCGTATTGACTCTTGACTCCAGCATCTGTAGTTTTTGCTATCTCTGTTTAATTATCATCTTGGTTTTGAAATTAAGTGAGAGGTAAAGTTGGAAATCAAGAATGAGGAATGAATGGCCTGCTTGTATTTAGACACAAAGCAGCAAGAGTCACAAACCCACAAAGGTTCTAGTTTCACATTGTACAACTTATAGATGTGACAATAAGTTACATTTACATAGCACCTTTATTATAGCAAAACGTTTCAAAATATCTCACAAGTGTGTAGTTTGATTAAATCTGATCCTGATCTGTATGCATGAGGTGACCATCAACTTGATCAAAGAGATAGGATTGAGGAAGATGATAAAAGAAGAGAGAGAGAGAGATGGGGAAACATGGAAAAATTGTATTTAAATAGCACCTTTCACGATCATGGCACACCACTCTTACTAAATCAGCCATTCAGGCAGAGTATACCACTTCAGAATAATTCACAATATAACAAAATCTCCCCATCGCCCCTGTACTTCTTTTGAAGGCCAATTTTAAAGCCTATATCTAGTAAAGCACCCTTATTCAAAGAGTGGGAGATAATCTACCGACAGAGAAGTAAACTGATACATTTTAATCGACTTTATTTACATTTTATATCTTTATTTCTTACAATCTCTGCATCACATGCTGCAAGAGCCCACCATTGATCCTACTTAAGATGGCAATGTTCAGTGATATTCATGTAACATCATACATCTGACACACTAAGAATTCAGCCTTTGTTAGAGGTGCAAAACAACTTTTAACTAAATTAAATGTTAACAATCCATGGCCCTGACAGCCTGAACTGACCAGAACTTTCAAACACACAAACTTGCGTAGCTCTGCAAACTCTGATTCACCCCAGACTTAGTTCAATGAATGACTAAGCCTTGTGGCTTCAAACAAGAGAAAGCCACAACAAGCATTAAATTCAAGCAGAAATACACCCTGTAGCCCAGAAACAATACGAATCTACAACTTAGCAGTGGAATTATACCCAAAGTGAAATCGGAGGGAGTGTCCCTGTTCTCCACTCCCCTATCTTCACAATCGCTGACTATGACCGCAATGGAAAACACATGGGGCCCCGATAAATGGACCATTTGATGAATTCAGACATTTTCATCGTTATAATTGTCCTTCCATGATAAGAATTCTGACCACGCCACTGGCCACAATCCAGTTCCATAGATATCGGAATTTTTTTGTCTTTATTCTTTCACTGAATGTGCACATAACTAGCTGAGGTCAA